TGACTGTAGAAGAAGACCATGGCCCTGTACTGCACATATATTATGTGGATCACACTAGTAAAGTAGCTGTAGCCTCCACACAAACTACAATTTCTTTACCCAATAAATATTTGATAGACTTATTGATCAAAGAAATTCAGTGTGTTAGTTCATTATTGTATTTTATTTTTCCTATGTATAATTTTCGGTCTCTTATTTCAGACAGGCTAAATAATTATAAGTCTATGAATAAGAAATCTAGGAAATTCTCATTAGAAAAAAAGCCGTGTTCATTTCTTTTAATGTTATTCTAATATAGGGGAAATGTATCCCGTAGTTTTGTTCAATGGAACACCTTGTGAATTTCAAAATGATCTAAATTTTCCTCTGAGCAGGTCTGTTCCTTGGCAACAATTCTGTAGTGAGCTGTGGTGTCATATGTCCCTTTCCAGAAAGACACTGTGATATTTATAAATCTATCTAAGAATACAAATAACCCCCACACTAAAGCATATGTCAGGGCATAGCTGTCGGTCCTGTCAACATGCAGTTCTTTGAAGGAGTTGAAAGGAACCGCGACTCACCAGTGTGTGCCCTGATTTTAGAGCTCTGAGCTTTGAATAGCCTATTTTGCAGTAACACATTTCACAAATAAATATCCCTGTGTAATGCATACGTTGAGATTCAGAGATAGTGGTGTTGTTAGAAGTTGCCACAAATATTAGAGAAGATAAGATCTTACAGAACTGGGCATTTTCTGTTTGAGAGGATCTGGCAGTGGGTCATGGACTAATACCTAAGACATGCTGTGAGAGGTGACTCTCTAAAGGTGACTACATGGGCAGAATAAAGAAAGTTTCTACCTAAACACTGAATACTGCTCAATATGTTAGGGCAGAAAGTGATGAGTTATTCTTTGAGAAATGGAAGTGTACAGATATCCAAGTATATCATTGGACAAGGAGTAATTGTTTCAAACTGAAGGAGGGCAGGCTCAGATTGGATAAAAGGAAAATGTTTTTTACACTAAGGGTGGTGAGGCACTGGCACAGGTTATCCAGAGAGGTGATAGATGTCCCGTCCCTGAAAACATTGAAGGTCAGGCTGGATGGGGCTCTGAGCAACCTGATCTAGCTGTAGATGTCCCTGCTTCTTGCAGAGGAGTTGGATCAGATGGCCCTTAAGGGTACCTTCCTTCTCACACAGTTCTGTCATTCTATGATTACTGAAAATTGATGTCCAAAATAATGATCAGCAGAATGCTTCAGTGGTATTTAAATGGTGGCCTGGGATGTCCATGTGCCTGGGAATACTTCCCTGTAGGTCCTGCTTCATATTGCCTGAGCTTTGCTACTGGCTCAGCACAAAGCTTGAGCAGCTGCCATCTGGTCACATTATTTGGTTTGAAACCCTCCAGGCTGGCTGCATGCAGGATTGCTGCTGCTGAAACTGCGTCGCCTACTTCCAGCCCACCCTTACCTCTTCAGCACAGGCTCTGCATTAAGCAGGCAGCTGTATGAAGGTGGGTTTTGACACCACCTGGATGCAGTTCACCTGTCAGGCAATCTGTGACTTTTCTTTCAAGCATGGGAGTATGTTTTTCAGAGTGTGAGAACTGCTTATTAAGGTCCTTTCCTGTGTGGTGGGAAGGATATGTACTCGTACTGCATATTGCATCAAATACCACTCCCAGGAAATGTTACCATGGTTCATATTTGAGGAGGAAGCGTCAGCAACAAACACCTTTCCTTTCCTTTACAAAAGAAGAATTTATTTTGGCTCTGGAAATCTCTGAAATAAAGATCACAGACAGATATTTTTGGAAATCGTCATGCATTTTTGCCCTGGGCTTACCAGGAGAAGGATTACATCTACCATGAATGAGAAAGTTTGAATGAGAAAGTTTGCTTGTGTTTTACAGCATCAAGTACTCCTTACTGTCAGACAAAGAGAAAGATAGCATGGGCTTGTCTTTTTTTCCTGTTCTGCCTTTCATCAGGAAGAATAATTCCTCATTATCATGTCCTCGTCCAATTCTTCATACTGCCACCTGTCAGGAAATGTATCTGATGTCCTTTCTTTTCTTCTGAGTTTAGCACAGATACTTTTGCACAGCACCATGTACTTAAAAACCTTGAAGAATAATTTTAAAGTAATAAATGTTCAGGTATCATTACAGTTTGGAACATTGTTTACTCCTCCAAATACACATAATAGAGGAAGAATTTCAATTAAATTTCTCAGTTTTGACTGAAGGGAAATATGAATTTTAATACACTATGTTGGTTGTCAGTGTGAGGACATATATTGATCAAAATCAATAACAGGACAGCCTAACAGTTTTTCAACTATTTGGAAATCCTGAGTAAATTTCTCTGTTATTTAAGCCCTGAATGATAAAGGAATTAGGTGGATGTATGAAAAGAAGCTCTTGAAGAGTGGAAGTGAAAACCAAACATCAACAACTTTCATCTTTCACTTGTAAAAGTTAATTTTATTTTATTAGTGCCTTCATTTATTTATTATTGCTACCAGGATTTCCTTCCAGTCTAGTATATACTCTCATCTCTTTCCAACAGCAAAAAAAAGCTGGTGCTCTTTCTTGTAGTTTTGGTCTGGCCTTCACATGTAATTGAATATTCTCTAGAAGGGGTCACAGTGAGTGGTTTATTTGTGAGCCTTTAATAAATGTGCAGAGTGCAGGTAGACAAATAAGGCTGTGCTCTTACATAAAATTCTGTACAACATAACTAATCCCCCTATCTCAGAAAAACAAGACACTGCAAATACTGCTTTATTGTTCATTGAAAGCTGTACTTTGTGTGAACAAGGCTGTCTGCTCCTTTGCTGAGGGCAGGTACAGGCATGAGCAGTTCTTATCTCTCTAACATTCGGGAGACCTGTTCACTTTTTGACACAGAACCACTCTTTTCCATTGTAAATGAGCAATATGTTGTGCAAAAGCTGGAGATCTTCATGCTCCTAAATACTGTCAAAATAATGTAGATGTGATGGATTTGCATAGATGTTTGCAGCCAAAGCAAGTTTGTGGGTGCTTCCCAGCCCAGTGGGATATAGTATTTGGGGGATTTCAGCAGCTGCCTTTCAAACTATAGTAAAGGTTTGAAAGCCCAATGAAATTCGAGTGCTGTTTGTTCACAGATTTATTTATTTATTATTTCTAGCCTGTAATTAACAGCATTACTGAGAGGATTGAAGGTTTTATGGTGCCCGTGGGATAGCTGAAAGTTATATCGCACAATACAGAACATTGTCTTCTTAGGTTAGCATGGGCTTAGTGTATGGCAAATATAATGCCATACCTACTGCTGGTGGCATTTAAGAGATGAACAAAATGAGAAGGGTGCTTAGCTGTGTGGTAAAAGCCTAGGACACATGGGAAGAACTATAGGGAGTGAAATAATGTGGGATCCCACATGTTCATAGAACTTCAAAAGCACCAAGGGTACAAAGCTAAGAGTGATTTCTCAACAATATATTCTGGTATGTAATCTAACAAGATAGTAATTTTATTATTTTATTTGTATTTAGGCAGACATTAACGGTTATTAAAATAGGGATTATTAGACAAAAACACACTGTGATAAATGTGAGTTGAATAAGTCAAATGGAGTACAGGTTGGTATAAATAAGTCGCTCAATCAGTCTCCATTGGATCCTCTGCTTTATTATTTGTTTCCTGCATGTTGATGATCAGAGGGCTGGAGCACATCTCCTATGAAGAAAGATTGAGGGAACTGAGATTGTTCAGCTTGGAAAAGAGAAGGCTCCGGGGAGACCTCACAGTGGCCTTCCAATACGTGAAGGGAGCTTATAAACAGGAGGGGGAGCAGCTGTTTACAAGGGTGGACAGTGATAGGACAAGGGGGAATGGTCTTAAACTGAGACAGGGGAGGTTTAGTTTGGATATTAGGAGGAAGTTTTTCACACAGAGGGTGGTGATGCACTGGAACAGGTTGCCCAAGGAGGCTGTGGATGCCCCATCCCTGGAGGCATTCAGGGCCAGGCTGGATATGGCTCTGGGCAGCCTGGTCTGGTGGTTGGTGACCCTGCACACAGCAGGGGGTTGAAACAATGATTGATGATCATTGTGGCCCTTTTCAACTCAGGCCATTCTAAGATTCTGTGATTCTACGTTGTCTCAGTACAGTTGTTACAAGTAAAAGTGTCCTCAGAAGCTAGTAATATAAGCCTCTTTTCTTTTTTCTTAATTTTAAAAAGTTAACAAGAGCAAAAGACTTCCCTACTTGTAAAAATTATTATATTGTCAAACAAAATAGGTTGCTAAAATTTATGAATAAATTTAACTGATTACTTGTTCTAAAGGAACCTTGGAGGGCGATTCCAAGCTTTTAGAATCAGTTTGATATCCACATCTCAGACAGTTTCAAGGGAGTGATTACAAGGTTGGGCTTTTTTTTCCTTTTTTTTTTTTCTTTTTTTTTTTTCCTCTCTCTTGGAATTTATACCTTCTTATTTTGGGGAGGATGAAATGATTTTTAAAATCACTGCTGCCTTAATTTCCTCATCTTCACTGTTGCATTATCTCTCTATCTGTCAAAGGGAGAAAATCAGCCTTAGCCCTTTGGCAGGAAAAAAATGATGGAAAAAAAGTACCTTATTCATTCACTCTATTTTACTGTTCTTCCTTCCAGCCTGAGAAAATTTCGTCTTGTTTTAAAGCCTGCATCAGAACTGGTGACAAACCCTCTGTGGTCTATCTATTTGTGTAAATAAATTACTGATATTGCAGTAACAGTTGGCTGTTTGGTTCTGTCCTGTTTGTGATTCCTGTTTTGCCTGTGGTATTCTCCAGCACAGTGGACACAGAAGCAGCAGACAAAAATGCTTTTAGTGAAAAGATACCATGTTTGACTTCTTCCCCTTTTTTAACAGCGTCTGATCTGAGCCTGTGGAATGGGGAGCCTACTTCCTTTCATTCTGCGTTCTCTGATTTATTATTTCTTTGACAGGGTTGCTGTGGCCGACTTGTAAGTTAGAGCTGATGCCATTAACACATGCAGCACAGAATAGACAAACTGACACAAATCTCATGTTTTTGCAGATGAGAATAGGCATTCACTCAGGATCAGTGCTGGCCGGCGTTGTTGGTGTAAGAATGCCACGCTACTGTCTCTTTGGAAACAATGTCACCCTTGCAAGCAAGTTTGAGTCAGGAAGTCATCCGCGTCGCATCAATGTCAGTCCAACCACATACCAGTAAGTGCTCTTAGCTTTTCATACTGCTTTTTTATTACAATCTGTTTACAGTGAGTTCTTAAAGCATGTTCTGCCCTCACTTGGCATGTGAACTACAGCACAAAGTCAGTAGGTTGCAGAATAATTGGAAAGAGCAATTGCATGATGTTCTCAGGCATTCATTTCCATGTTTGTATCAGAACGTGTAGAAAACTGAGGCAGTGAAAGCAAAGGAGCACAACAGGAGGGCCAGCAGTTTCTACCTAAAATACCATCTAACAGAAGTGGGCGAATGATACTAAACTGAGAGGAGCTGTTAATTCCCTTGAGAGTAGGGAAGAATTACAGATATTGATAAATTGGAGGGCTGAGGGATCATCAGCAGCAAGAAACTGAAGCAAGAGCAAACACCTAGAGTAGGGCAACTCTGGATCAATGTACAAGCTGGGGAACCAGAGTGGAGAGCAGGAAGAGGGATCTGGGGATTCTGAATTTCGGCAAGTTGAGTGTGTGTCAGCAGTGTACCCAGACAGCCCAAAGGGCCAACCGTGCCCTGGGGTGCCCCAGGCCCAGCACTGCCAAAGGGCAGGGAGAGAGGCTGCGCCCTCTGCTCTGCGCTGTGCAGCCTCGCCTCCTGCCCTGGATGCTGGTTTGGGTGCCGCAGTATGAGATGGGCATAAAGCTATTAGGGGGAGTCCAAAGGAGGGCTGCAGAGATGGTGAAGGATCTGCAGGACAAGGGGTACGAGGAGCGGCTGAGGTCCCTGGTGTGCTCAGCCCAGAGCACAGCAGGCTGAGGGGAGGCCTCATGGCAGCACCAGAGGGCGGTGGGCACGGAGCAGCCTGCCCAGGGCTGCTGGAGCTTAGGGACACCAGGTTTGGATTTTGGGTGGTGCTGTGTGGAACCAGGGGTTGGACTTGATGTTTCTAATGGGTACCTTTCAGCTCAGGATATTCTATGATTTTTATTTCATGGGCAGTGTCCCTCATAGTGCCATCTTTTTGTGTACTATCACAGCTTTCAGACAAGGGTTTTCTTTTCACCCGTTGTACACAGTAGATGAAAAGAAGCATGTTTCCACTGGCTCAGGAGAAAGCTTTTAATTTTGACAGTGACACCAAAGTTTCTTAGCACTGTGAAGAAACACTTGATAAAAGTATTTTCTTAATATAAGAAAAAAGATTGGAAATGGCAAAGTGCAATCACTGCCTCTTTGAAGAAATTATGCAAATAATCAAGCAAAGGCTTTATTAAATCAGGTTATGAAGAACATCTCCTAAAATAATGAAAGGTGTTCCTTATTGTTCAAATTTGACAGATTGACTATAAGAATTTCTGTGCTTGGATTATGACTGCTATGTTCACTGTTTTTGGGCAGGAGATCTAAATCTCACTCTTTTTTTCTACACTCTGAAGTGATTTTCTGAAGTACAGTTTTCCTCAGGTTTTCAGGCTGTTCCTCTGCAGTAAGCCTGTCAGAAATTTCTCAAACAATACTTCTTTCCTTTCTTTCTTTCTCTCTCTCTTTTTTTTTTTTTTTCTTTTTTCTTTTATAGACCTGTGACTCTCAGTATTTACTTTTCCCAAAACTACCTGTGTAAATTAAGGCTTTAAATGGAATTTCTTCATCCAAGCATTGAAACTTCTGATATGCTGAAATAGAAAGCAGTCGGAAATAAAAGTTAAAAAGTAATTAAAACTAGTGAATAAAATGTTCCTTATCTGAAGAGCCCATTTACTTGAGATCAGATTTATGGAAAGGGACGCAAGTGTAGCTAATTGAACAAGAGGCAGAAAATCCAAAGAGACTTTTGCATTGTGTGCAGAAGCAGGTTCATGTCGTTTTCTGGTAATGTGCAAGAGAGGCATAGACCTAAGTTACTGTCAGGTATAGAAAATCTACTCATTTAAATAAAAATGATTTCTATAAATATATAGGAAATATGTATTCATATACAATTGTATTGAACTGACAGCATACTCCAGTGGTCAGAGGGAGATCATCAAGGAGAAAAATCTGAGCTGTCCAGAATACGGTGATGTGGGAGGGCAAGAGATAGTGGACATAAAGAGGAGAAGCTCAGCCTGCTTATGAAGAAATACTCTTTCCCATGAGGACAGCTGGACAGTGGCATAGGCTGTGCACAGACACTGAGCATTCTCCATCTTTGAATGTTTTCAAGACCTGACTGAGTGCAGCTCTGAGCAATCTAGTCTGAAATCAGCATTTATCTTCTTGTGAGCAATAGTTTGGATGAGAAAGCTCTTGTGGTGCTTCCCAGCCTGAATTATTTTATGGGTCTGATGTCTATGAGCATCCAACCTATTGGCTTGCTTGACAAGTGGATTGGACATATATGATTGTCCAGTTAGCAGCCTGAGTGCCTGTTGATGAAATTGTAGACCTAAATGAAGAAATTGATATTTTTTGATGTTAGCCTACACATTCTACTGAAAAAGAAAAAATAACCTGCTTAATGTCACAGCATCAACTGTGTATCTAGAATAGTTTCACATGTTGTGTATAACTGACAGCTTTTGAAACTTGGTGAACAATAGCAACTTTCACTGAAGGGATCCAGTTATTTTTTTTTTCAAGTAGACATTGTGAAAATAAAGTAAAAGACAAAAAGACAAGATTGTACTTTAGTTCTTTACACAAAGTTTACTTCTGAATGGTTTTGGATATTGATTTTCTGGTGAATCCATAGAAAAACATATACCGATTTAACAGTTCAGACTTGTGTTATTTTTGGACTGCTCAAGTCTGTTGAAAACACAGTCTGTAGAATAGGAGCACTGAAAGATTCCCATGGCTACCTGCAAGCAAAAAACAATTTACAAAGCAGTCACGGAGGAGCCATGCAGTATCAGGTGACATTTTGGTATAATATGGGAGTATGTCTTGAAACCACTGGATTGTTGATGAAAGTCAAATTGTTTCAGCATGGCCAAGCTTTCACCTAATGTGATCATCATCTCTGATTTTATCATCCAGAATACTACACATTTTGACTTTAGCTTCAAAAAAAAAGGAAGGTAGTGAAAAAGTGAGTGATGATGTGGTAATGTTATTGCAAAAGATTGCAAAATCAGGGCTCAATTCAGAGAGCTGTAAGTGCAAGTAACATGGGGGGATAATGATAGGACAAGGGGGAATGGTCTTAAAATGAGACAGGGGAGGTTTAGGTTAGAAATTAGGAGGAAGTTTTTCACACAGAGGGTGGTGATGCACTGGAACAGGTTGCCCAAGGAGGCTGTGGATGCCCCATCCCTGGAGGCATTCAGGGCCAGGCTGGATGTGGCTCTGGGCAGCCTGGTCTGGTGGTTGGTGCACATAGCAGGGGGTTGGAACTCGATGATCATTGTGGTCCTTTTCAACCCAGGCCATTCTACGATTCTGTGATTCTATGATTCTATGATCATTCTGTGTTGCCATTTACTCATTTAATGTTTTTATTATCTAAGAAGCAGTATTCTACAAAGTAGCTAATTCCACAATTAGTATGAAAATAACAGAATTCCTTTCAAGTACTGGCATTTATCATAATGCATGTGTGTCTACCATGATGATTCCAATAATATATTTCGTACTTGCAAAGCATGCAGATACTGCAAACATGTCTCATACTTATCAGCTTTCATTTTACAATATAAATTATGCGTTACAAAGTGTCATCAGCGTTCAAATGATAATCGTACATCAGTATGCCTATTAACGGTTCAGACACTTCCCTATGAGCCCACAATCTGCCTGTGTGAGAAGAAGAGTTTAAATAAATAAGATGTGGTGTTGCTTAGCAGCAGCAGTGAGCCTGAGGCAGACTTGCTTGCGGTATAAGACAGCGTCTTTTACAAATGTGGGCTTTGAATCTGCTGGTGATAAAAGTTCTTTTCAAAACACCTTGTTCTCTTGACACAGACAGATCTTCTGACAGAAGGATTACAGAGCACTGGTTGCTTTGAATCACTGAGTACTGTACAATGAAAAGCACTGAACAGCACTGGTAAAACTGGTGAAACACATGGAAATTGTGGAGACTGGTCCCAGGCTGGCCCTTATTAAACACGTTGCCATGAAGGAGTAGGAGAATAACACATTTCCCATTCCTGTATTAAACTGGCAAATCCAGCTATAGGCTTATGTAATTGATTTATATTGCCCTGAGCTGAATAAAATTACCATATTTTCCATACGCAAGGGAAATCATATTTTTCAGTCTCCTGTTCAGTATGGAAGAAAGATTAATTACTTTTTAATTATTTGTTTCAGCCTTGAATAATAATATTTATCTGATACTAATATAATACATCTACTTTAATTCTATTTTCTTGATAGTATTTAAACATAACGCCTTAGGACTTCAACACTGTTATCAAAAGCAGGTAAACTGAATTGTTGCTTTAGATCAAGTAACTATTTTAATAATAACTTTTTTTTCCCTCTTCTTTCCTCGTATGACCTTTTCTAGTACATATTTCCCTTAAAGATAAGGTACTTCAAGCAAGGATGGGATACAGATCCCATTGTCACGTGCTAGGCAATACATCAAGCACCTGAGTGTAGGCAAAGATGATCAGCCTGTAAGCCACCTCCTGATGTGATTAGGGCAGAGAGCCACCGAGGGTCATTTTGCATGGAGCTGGGTGAGGTCATTGCCAGTTCATTTGCCTAAATTGCCCCTCAGCCTTTACAATCAATTAAAACCTGCAAGATTTTGAATCTTTATGCTGTTACATGGAACTCAATTTACTTTTATGTAATTAAAAATAAGTTTTTACATCTGTCATTATCTATTTTTTTTTTACTTATATAAATATAAAGCCTGTGAGCTTTCCCTAGTGATGGCAAAATCCTAATCACGGAACCTGGTTCTGTTATATCCTGATCAGAGTGCTGACACAGTAACTCTTCTGCTTAGTGGGTGAGAAATAGAAGTATTAGAAATCAGTGATAGGCACCATGCATAGATGTATTTGATATGCAATCAAATTATTAAGTTTTATTAATTTATTATTAAATATTTCTTTAATATTTATTAAAATACATTAAATACAAAAGCAGGACTAATTCTTTCATAATCTTACTACACTTGAAGGAAAAACACCAATACATGAACTACCATAAAGTACAACGTGACATAAATTAGAATCAAGCACAATCAAGTTTTTCTCAGTCTTCCAGTCTTGCTAGTATGTACAAAAACAGTGGGAGAAATTCAAAGCCACTAACATTTAGGATCAAGTAGACTGATTTGGAGCATCACAGTGGCAAATTAATACACTTATATAGTGTATTTTATAAGCAGACTTTCAATTTCCAATTAATGCCACAACAATTCATATGGAAAAAAATGAGTTGATGTATTTTGTGAAACCAGATACCAGCTAGTGAAGTGACCAATGCTCATTCGCACAGAGGAAGAGATCAGCAATCCCAGAGGATACTGATAATCCATTTGTGAAGCCATTAATTAGCTTTTCCTAATTTTACCAATTAATAAATGGAGCTAAACATGCTAAAGACAGTTCAGTACACTTCATCAGAAGCAGCTTCCCACTGTAAGAGTTGGAACAGAAATAACTTTTCTTAATTTATAGTCACAGAAGATAACATGTAAGGAAGATTGACCTAAGCACTTCGTTCTTTTTGCTGCATGCTCTATTTAGGAAGGCAGTATATGTTCTCCTTTAATTTAGTCCATTGTATTTCTTTAAGAAATGTACCTCAAACACTGATCTATGCAAAACTGTATATCTTAAAGAAGTTTACATCAATGTTCAGTTCTGAGTGGGTGTTTTAACTCTGACTAAACAAATTGCCAGATTGTATCATAACATCAATTTTATCTAGAGTCCATGTAAATTCATTATACTGAGGTTAAAATGCATGTATGTGCAGGAAAACATACCAATCTCCCCTCCACTCCTGAAAATGAAAAGTGGATGATTCTCAGATACCATCTTTTTGTCTGAAAGTAATAGTGTTTCCACCAGGGAAGGGAAAGAATAAGAATTTAAGCTGTTAAGATTTCACATTAGAAGGGGAAGCTGTCAAGTTAATTAAACTACAAATCAGCATTTAAGAAATTCTTCCTCCCCTGAAACATCAACGAAAAAGACAAGCTGAGGGTAGACCTGGTTCCAGGCAATTTGTAGGAATACTGGAGTAGCCTGACCCTCACAGTTTAAGCACTGAATTGTAAATTGTGTATCCAACTGCTTGAGTGGAATCCAGAATTCTGACCCTGTGAATAACCTACCATAAAAACCTTTGCAAAAGCGCTCTTAAGGGAAATATTCAGAAGTGATGCAGGAAGGACTGCTGAGATAAAGGCTTTGGAATAGTTTCAGACTAGTTGTTATATGCATATTCCTGAACTGCTGAGGTTGCATTACCTCAAATGGAGCTCTACGGCTGTGAAACACTGAGGGGATTTGAAATGCTTTATGTAGAGTTTAAGCTGCCAGATAATTTCTGGAAGCTGAATGATAGATTCCCAGACTTTCAGAGCAGGCACAGAAAAGCACTCTGAGAATGGTCAGCAAGTTGGGACTAACAACCAGGACAGGGCGCCACCACAAGCTTCCAGACACAAGGTTTTACACCAGTTAGTGCCCAGAGTCAGAGGGGAAGTGCAAGAGCCAGTTGTGTGGCTCAGCTTTGCCCTTGCTGTCAATCTGCACTACTCGTTCAGCTCTTGGCAGAACTATACTTTAAAGCTCTTCATATCCTTGAAGAGGAAGGCAAGAATCTTAACAAGGGCTGTGGCTCTGGGTTGCAGACATCTGCTGGTACTGTTTTAATGTTGTGAATCGCCTAAATATGGCAGAGAAGTTTCCTGGAGAAAAATGTCCCCACTGATAAACACTGCGGATAAGCAGATGACTCCTTTTTTGGTGTATACACAAAGCTATGAGAAATCAGATGCAATTTCTGAAACCTGATCTCACTGTCTCAGAAACTGAGTGCCAGGACCAGTATGTTTACAGAGTCCAAAGAAGAACCGGTACTTTAGGACGGGACTGGAAGAAATCATTTTTATCTTGCTTAAAGCCTTTCTAATTAGAATCATCAAGATATTTTTTTTTTTCATAAGCATATAAAGTAAGTAGCATAGAATATGATTATAAGTGGCTTCCATTAATATTTGTTAAAGAGGACTATTTCCTGCCTGTGATCACTTGGGAGCTGAAAAAAAGGTCAGCTAGGCAAATTCTGACGAGAGGCTAATTCAAATATTGCCTAATATAGTGATGTGGAGTCTATCACAAGCCACAGTGGATAAATATCCAAATAGCTGTACTAATTGGTTAGTCACCCTTCACTGCTGGCACTTTTGATAATTTCAGAGAATTTCATTACAACCAAGTTGCAACTCACAAAACGGCTGAAAATAAGGTCTTTGATTAATATCTTGCACTTTCATCCTATGAGGAAAATAGTGTGAAATACTGATTAAACTCAATGCCAGCCCTGAACTAAATCTATCTATCTGTAACTGTCATTACAATCAGATAATTTTGGGCTCTGAGAAAGAAACCATTGATTTTTAGCAGTGCTAGATGCTCTACAGTGAATGGGCCATTCAGGGAAGAAAGTCTGGAGTGAAAGCTTGTGGTTTTAGCTCAGAAAGTTCTAAGAGTTCATTTGTTCCTTGCAAAATCTAGTTTGAAAAATAGGGTTGCTTCATTGTATTAAAGTGGTAGACTTAAAATACAAGATATTTACTGCAAGCATTGTGGAGATGAGAGGAGAGAAGCTTCTCTGCAGAGGCCTCTGCAAACTCTCACACAATATGGAAAGAAGATCATTGTGTTTTGCTCGTAAAGTTGACAGCCTGGAAAATAGATTATGACACTCAAACCATATGGTAAACAAAGACCACCACAGAAGTTCAAAGGCAAATACATGGTTAGACTTACAGCCATCTGATTATTTAAAAGCTGAGGAAAAAAAGCCTTTATAGTTAGAGAAATTGTGAGGAGCTCACATGGATTCTCCCAGCCAAAAAGAAAAAAAAAAAAAAGTAAAGGAAGTTCCATTAAATATGCTGAAAATCCTAGAATATTCACCCAGCAACAGGATTCATTCGGTCATTTACTCTCCAGAAATTAGCTTTAGAGACACTAAATGAACAGCCTATTACAAAATCTGCTGAAGTTGACGAGGTTCTTCCCACTGATGTTTTTGAGTTTCTCTCTGATTGAAAGAATAAATATCTTTGAGAAAAAGATGAAGGCTGCTTTCATATATCCAACTGTGCTTAGAATTTACTGTTACCTCAAAATTGTTCTTTTTGATTCTTCATTTATTGGAAACAAATAGAAAAGGTGTAGATTATTTGCTTCATTTTGCAACTAAGCTGTTTTCATGAAAAGGCCCCAAATTATCGGAGTTAGCCAGAAGAAGTTTTTCCAACATGAAGAAAGACTACAAATAGCAACAGGCAGTATCATTGGATCTGTGACATTGTGCCGTTTGTATGGCATGGCTGGAGGAGAGTCGCACCTCACATGAGCCTGTAGCTGTTTTTTACCTCAACCAGGGGTCCTAAATTAAACTTGCAGGTGCATTTGATGGATAGTGTCAGATTTGATTTGTTTCTTTTTGAATCTTTTTTTGCTGTTATGGGACCTGTTTTGGTTTCAAATTTGATTCTCTTTCTTGTATATGAGTTTCTGAATGCTGACACTGTTTTTCAGAGTATGTATTTATTTGGGCCTTCTCTTCAGCTGATCTCAGCAGGTCTGGAATCATAGAACCATTTTGGTTGGAAGGCACCGTTAAAGATCATCTAGTTCAACTGCTCTTGAAGTTAGTGATACTGTTAGTATAGATTGGTTGGGGATCCTGGTCAAGGATTTTCTAGATGTCACATAATACTTCAAATTCATTTTTAAATTTGAGATCACATAGGACCAGTCTCTTCCATAGAAATGTGTCTGCAATGTGCTTCATAGTTTTTATATCTCTCTGTTCTCTTTTTTTCTAGGCTTTTGAAAAAGGAAGAAAATTTTATTTTTATCCCTCGTTCCCGTGAAGAGCTTCCAGAAAACTTTCCAAAGGAAATTCCTGGGATCTGTTACTTCCTCGAGGTCAGAAGTGGTCAGAAGCAGCCAAAACCCTCCATCACATCCGCCAGAGTGAGGAAAGTTTCTTACAACATTGGCACCATGTTCCTCCGGGAGACCAGCCTATGAGGCCTGCTGCAGATCAAAGACTCATGAAAAAGCACAAGCCCAGAACTGGGTCACGCCAGGGGAATCGGAGGTTCTTTCTATTTCACTGCCTTGTTCTGAACAAGCAGTAAAAGCTTCATGTAATGTCAGGCAATAATCATTTTAAAGGTGGGTGACTGCTGTTGGTAAACAGAGTGGAGATAGGGAAAAAAGTGTTTGAACAAATACTTCCACTTCCAGAGGAATTTCATTAGTAAACTTGAGTCTGGCCCCTTCATGACAAACAAACACAAACAAAACGAAAAAACAACTCTCACATTAGAGGTTGGTTTTGTTTTGTGCAGAATGGGTGATGGTTCTCTGTAGATTTGCACCAGCTAAGCAGAATTGAGAGTCAGTTCTGATTATGCATTCCTACATTCAGTGTGTTCTTCAGTACGGTAATGATGTTTTTTAACTTTATGAACAAACATTTCATACATGTACTGTAGAGTTGTTGTAACCTTCCTGGCAGGAGGAATTATAATTCAGTACAAAAGTTGTAGGGATTTTACCTATTTTTATACATATTTCACTTTCTGGATAATTACATTCCACATACTGTAAGCTGAGTAAGCCTAGATAGCTTTTCAGAAGAAGTTATTGTGTATTTCGTATATTCTGCCTATCAAAGCTTATTGTTATACACATGGGAAGAAGTCATTTTTTTGACTTTTTTTGGCGTCAAAAAAGATCAATATTTTAAAGGAAAAAAAAAACCACTTTGGTAAACCTCTTTACCTGATGTTTATGCTAAACTTTAGATGAGCATTGTCTTGCTAATACAAAATAATGTTCAGTATTTGTCCTATAGTGCTGTGTATCCACTGTTTCTGGGACAAAGCAAACAAAATGTAAAATAACAATTTATTAACAAACAGAAAAGTTCTGTTATACGCAGTGGGGCTTTTTTTCCACAACAAATTCCCATCCAAATTAATATTGGGTACAAGTCCTTCCTCTGAGAGAGTCCAGCAAATTCTGGAGCATTCTGCGTACTGGTTTTCCAGTTTTTTAAAAGAACTTCTGCTTCTGCTCTAAAAATCCTATCTGCTATTAAAGATGCTAATTTGGAAATTTCCTCTGTCGTGGATTGGATGAAAGGTTTATCTAATGTAAACCAAAAAATACTGAAAAGGGAAAGGAAGTAATGTCTCAGATTTAATGAAAATGCCAGTTCAAGATTTAGAGCAGTCTATGTTAATTAAATGAATTATTAAAAGAAAAAAAAAAAAAAAAAAAAAAAGAAGGCCCAATTCCTGGTTAAATTTAAAATAGTTTTATTTTCTTTGGTGAAACCAACTGAAACAAGAAACGAGATGTAAATCTGTCCTCCCAGTAGACACATTTTCAAGCAGAGTTTATTTCTCAGGCTTTCCTTTGCGGAAGTGACAGCAGTCAGTTTTCTTTTGTAGGTGTACTTCCTTTAAGGTCCTACTGAATTGAGCCAATATTCTTCTAGTTTTGTAAATTGTTAGAAAACATTAATGCAGTGATTTCAAATTGGCTTAGCTTTACAATGGCCTGATCAAAGGTCGAAGAAATCAAAGACAAAACTCTCAGCAGCTCAGCTCTTCTGTAATCCTAATCAGAAATTTGGGCCATATTTATGGATTTGTTCAGTTATCAAATCTTGAAGCGCTGTTTGAAAATTAGTGAATAACATTCTCCACATGTTCAAATTACCCAGTTGTACCTTTCTGCAGAGGGAACGACAGTGCTCCATTATTCCTCTTTGACTCAGGACAGGAACAATTTAGCATGGCACAGCCATCCTGGTACAGAAAAAAAATTCATGCTTCCTTCCCATGAAGCCTGCCTCTATGAGAAAGAATTATTTTGAACCTACATAGACTTGGTCAGGTAGAAGAAACATGAATTTATTATGGAAGATGTTTTCTTGCTGAGAAGGTATCTGCATGGGCATGGCAGGGGCATTGGAACTAGACGATTTATAAGATCTCTTCCAAACCATTCCAATGTATGATTCTATGAATATTACTTAAATAGAAATTCCCTTGTTTTTTAGAGGACCACTGATGTTAAAGATTTTTTTCCATAGCATCCTTGGGATTGGAGGAGTTTATCTTCTACCTACCTTGATAAACACCATCTGCAGCTTTGCTTTATGTCTGAAAAATGACTTGATGAAAACTGTTTGGGCTTGAGGTTTTAGAATTTCCATCCAAACCATCAATCCAAGAATTTTCTGCATCAAAGGGCAAGATGTTTTACCCTACATCCATTAGTTTGCATATTCACAGCATGTAGCATTCATTTCTTTTTTTCTGGTGAACATCAGTAAGACCTGCAAGAATTATATATGGAGCAAAGTTCCAGTTCAATCATGGGAACAGAAACATTCCTTCTGAGCTAATAGAGCTGTGGTTTTGATGTCATTACCCAGTTCCCTGTAGTGATTATCTTTTTCCCAGCAATACATTTTTCTTTTAATCAATACATCAAGATTTCTTTTGGACTTTACTGGCACATCCTCATTATTCAGTAGGTGTTAATGTCAGATTACTAATCTCTCTGGCCAAACTCAGTTTCTTTTCTCACCGCCCACAGTCCTCTGTGATGAGAACAAATGAAGAGGTTCATACCAAAAGCATATTGCTCAACATCCTGTCTCTCACAGCTGCTAATAGGAAATGCCTTGGTTTATTCTGTGGGTGATCTTGGTAGATCCATGGAAACATTTTAATGAGAAATGATGGTTAAAAGCTAATTCAGCTATTACACTGAAGTGGCATTCAAAAAAATTGTAGTGCCATCCTCACAGTCTCCAGTCACAGTTTGTTTGATAATCTCTGTAATCACAGAGAGAGCTCCCCAAATTGGAGCAGATTTACTGTATAATAATAGACAGTCTCCGTTTTTTATAAGTTTCTGTGAAGGTAACATGCCAAAAACTTCAGCACTGATGCTATGTATTGTGCTATTTGCTTCTGTGTTAGGACAGGTTAAGTTAATAGAGAAGTGCAGGCTTTCTAGAGGCACTTGATCAGTGAGAGAAAAGTATGAAGCATTCTCAGCATTCTTTAACTTAGTAGCTGCATCTGCTGCCTGCAGTATTTGGTTATACATTTATTCACTGGACACCTGTATGAAGTGAAATATAGTTTATTAGCAAGGTTAATGCTGTGAAGTTGGTTAGATCATAGTCAAACTCAGCATTTGGTCAACAGTGCTTCATTTTAGTGAGAAAATGTTCTCATTTGCCTGATATTGTTTTCACGAATAAAAGGCTTTGCAGTGTTTTTTCCCTGGGATGTTGAGGCAGAGAGGTGCTGAAATGTAGAAATCACATATTGTAGTTGGAATTTCCTCCTGATATTTTATTTCCTATTAAATAGATGATCCTTTTTTCCTCTCTGAAAGTAAGAGAGGAGATCTACTGCATATTCCCTGAATGGGAAGGAGAATGCATGGGCCCAAGCTGGGGTTATTGGTCTTTTTGCCACAGCCTGGTTCTGTGCAGCTTGCCCCTGATCCAGGCTCAGACAGACTGGAGACCATAGGCTGACCACAGAGGCAGACTCACAGGCCAACTTCTCTTGCTGAAGGCATGAGGCCTAAGTAAACAGAAACAGCAGTTATTCCCCTAGAGCACCTTTTAGAGGTTTTCTGTCAGATTTCTCCATCTACTTGAAGCTCTCTGTCACACAGGCTTTTCTGTGATGCAGGGCACAGAGGTCAGGAACTCAGAGTGAAGGAAATTGTAGAGCAGTGGATTAAATTTTGTTCAGTATCACTCTGGAAATACCTACCATACAAAGACAAAAGCCGCTGCATGGGAGAGTTACTGCAAAGACAGAATTTTAGTAGTGTGGCTGTCTTGCAGAATCCCACAGGGTTTTGCTCTTTTAATTCCAAAAAGCTCATAGTTGTTAAATGTGGTTGTGGTTTTGACTTCACTGTTCATTCCCACATCCATTTTCAGATCTCAGTCTGTTCAGAAAGGCATTGTGCAGCCTGGAAGCATGCCTCTGCAAACAGAAAACCATCTTGTATGGGAATTGCTTATGCTGAAGAAGAAATACTTGCACTTTGTCACTAGCTGGTCCTACTGAGGTTCATCTGTATGCGGATGCAGTTTCACAGTGGTGTCCCCTCCTGTGTTCATGGTGCTTCTGTGCCTGCAGAGACATCCACCTTTTCTGTTTTCCATTAACATTTCTCTTTCATATATGTATGTATATATATATTTCTGTATAAAGCAAATGGCGCAGAACTGTGGCGTGTTGCAAACATTTAAACATACCATAGCTCTGCGCTGAGACTTATGCTCTGCTTACTGATATTGCATTAAATATTTCTTCCTCTGAATAAAATAATAGGATAAAGATCCTTCTTATCCCAGCAGACTTTAAAATGAAGGGGGAAATAAAATACCACAAACCAATTTGAATTGCAGATGGGTGTGAAACTTGTATCAGTTGTTGGGGCAAGTGTAGCTGCAGAATGGCTTTCAGATTCTTCAGCACCCAGAGGAAGCCCTCACGCTTTCTATCTGCCAACAAGACTAATCCAACAGCAGCATCACAAACATCTAGCATCTTCTGCGCTCTTTCATCTTCTGATCTCAGGCTTCTGCCTCACCTCTGCTGAGTGCTGACAACACACTGAGCAGACCCACTTCCCTGCCCTAACTCAGTCACAGAGCTTCTCACTCTGTTTTGGACACTGTTATTGCTTTGTAAAATTATGCTTTTGTAATGTTACAGATAACAGCATGCGTAAATTAGCAACAAAACAAGAGGCATAAGCTTGACGGCTGTCTCTTTAGGAAAGACAAACCAGCATGGTGAGGCAGTGAAGTTGCTTTTTACATGAGGAGGCAAGTGGAATGTATCAAGCTCTACCTGGGAATGGACAGTGAGCAAGTAGAGAGCTTGTGGGTGAAAATTAAGGGGCAGGCTAAGGTGAGTGACACTGCTGTGAGTGTGCACTACAGGCCACCTTATCAAGTGGAGGGATTTTGATGAGGCCTTCTACAAACAGCTGGAAGCAGCCCCACAGTCACAGTCAGTGGTTCTCATGGGTTTCAGTCAGTCTGACAGTTGCTGGAAAAACAGTGCTGCCAGGTACATACAGACCGGGAGATTCATGCAGTGTACGGAG